TTTCCATCTGTTTTGATGGCGATTTTTCTATCTTTGACCTTTGCTTTAACCTGCGAGATTTTCTTTCTTTTGGTGTATTATCAATATCATTGAGTTGAGGAACTCTTGCCGTCGATTCTTTCGGCTTTTTGTGAGTTTTATCAATTGCTTCCGATTTCTCGTTTTCAGTAGTTTCAGACGTTGACGGTTTTGAGCTGCGAAGTGGCCTGTCGTTTAAGGATTCCTCTTGCTTTGGTACCTCGTGTTTGGATTTTCGAGTTTTTCTTTCTATATTAATCTCAACATTTGATTTTTGGGGTGTTTTTGTGGCTAACAAGTCGCCGACAGATTTGTCCTTTTTATCTTTACGGTGTCCTTTCGATGTTACAGACGCATCACTGCTCGCTGGTGACTTTTCTAAGAGCCTTGGGCTATTGCGATGCGGTGTTCCGGTGTTTACTACCGAGTTATTGTCGCATCTAAGCAAGCGCTTACTGCTACGACTCTCGCGACCTGTCGATATTACGGGAGACATATTTCCTGGACAAGGACTAGCCTTGGCCAATGCAGAGCGTCGCGTTTTCATTGTGCTTTCCGGGTTATCCGACTTATTCGCTTTTGAATGGTTTTTTTGAGCTTGGATATTTGTAATGGGATTTATCATTAGAAGTTTTTCACTTGAACCATTATCCATTTCCTCGTCAGTTTGTTGCATATCAACCTTAGTAGTTACTTCTTCAGGCATGTCTATTTTAGCTATCAAAGTTTCTTTACTTTCTTCAGATTTTTCAGTCTCCTTGTCCCTTTCAGATAAATTATCTATATTCGTGTCCAACGATTTGTCAGGCAAAGTCTGTTCAGATGGTTCATCTATTTTTGCAGGTTCTTCCCCTGTTATTTGTTCATCCACATTCCCATCGGATGTTTCAATATCCTTCATTCTATCTCTAGATACCTCAATATCGAGAGTTCCTTGAGAAGACATTTCGTCCAGGGCTGGCAGCTCCGTTCTTTCTTGGTCAGCTGTATCCCGCATATTAATTTCTCTATCTTCAGTATCTGCCATTTCAGAATCTTTTGCATCCATATTTACAATTTCACTTGCATTTTTAAAAGCACGTTCTTGATTGACACCGTCTTCCCCTTCGCATTGCCCAGCACTCCCTTGCGCCTGGCTCTGACTAACACTGTTTTCCTCAAGGCACTTTCCAGCACTGATCAGACGTGGGCTCTTATAAATTTCTAGTTCCGTATCCGTCAGTCTCTTCCCAACGGCTAGCTTCCTGTGAATGTTATCCTTTGCTTTAATTTCCCGGAATGCTCCGCACGCGCTCTTGATGGAATCGTTTAAACTGTCTTGAAGCTTAAACAACGCTGTGTCCTCAGGGTCTAAATAAGTTATCGTCTTATTTGCTTCTGCTTCATCGGTTGGAGCTTCAAGAGAGTCTGCATCCGCCAGCTTTCTTAACGCAGCGGATAGAGGGCGTAACTCTTCTTGCGGTTGTGCCCTTTTCGACTTTTCAGGAGTTTTATACGCCGATTCGTCGGTTGTTAAATTCAAGTTAATGTCTTCGTCTACCTTGACAGTTTTATTTTCATTTTCTGACGGAACTACACTAGGTTGCTCAGTCAGATTCTCCGAGACAGCATCATTTGCTTCTGTCTTACTAATGTTTCGTTTCTTCCTCGGTCTCCCACGCTTGCGCTTTATTTTTTCTGGCTTTGTGGGAGCTTCTTTTCTTATTTCACTCTCATTTTTCGTTTCTTGCTCTCTTGTTTCAGCGTTACTTATTGTTGGCAGCGACAGCGGCACGCAATTGTTCTGTTCCTCTGTGGTGGCGGCCCTGGTCTTTGCCTGCTTACGACGCCCACGCTTCGGAAAGGCGCTGTCGCTTTTAGCCCGACGCAGCTCGGTTTTCTTCGGTGCAATCTTATCTAAATTCTCGCTAGAGTATGTCAGCTTGCGAACGTGACTTTTGGAGGAAGATAAGCCAATTGTTGGGATCACTAGTTTAGGGATAGATGTGCTGCGCGGCTTGGAAGCGGAACGTTTTTCGAACTCCTTTGAGCGCTCTACATCAATGTTAATGATTTGCTCGGCGAGACTGAGGCTTAAGCGCTCTAAGGTTTCGTACGTTAAATTAACATCTACGTAATCGGCGCGAGACGTTTTTTCTGACTCGTTGCAGCTTTTCCGTCGGCCTGTGCTGCTGGAGGGGCCGTCAAACTGCTGCTCAGCTGCAAAGATTAAATCGAAATAAGTGATAAATGTGAAATACGCTAAAATGAAAAGGAATTAGGAAAAACTTACCCTTTGCCACCGCTTGATCAACGGAATCATTAACCTGATCGTTATCTGTTTGCGCTGTAGTCGTAGACTGTTTTTCATGGGAACGCGATTTCTTAGCATTAGCTGTGTATTTATGTTTAGAGGGTGGCGATTCGGCACTACTTAGATTATTTAAATACAATTGTAGTCGCTCATTATCGCCGCATGGCATGTGCTGCTGCTTCTGCTGCTGCAGGCTCTCGTCTTCGGAAACAACAGGTGTCACAGTGTCTACACGGTTTGTTTTACGCACATTATAAATATAATCAGAGGGTTGGCAGTATCAACTAGTAGTTTAACGCTGACTTACCCGCCAATGATGTGGCCGTGCTGCTATCCGTCGATATATCAATAACCTGCTTAGAGCCCTCGCCATCGTCATCTGAATCGCCATAGCCGTAAAAATCCGATTCATATTCATAAGACGAATCGCTGTCCGAGTCATCTGAGAAGTCCTGCAAATCTGCAGACCAAAAACACATAAATTTAATTTAAAGCTGAGCTTAACAGAGTATCGAAATATTATTTTATGATCAACAATCACGATCAATGCGTTTTGCGTGTCAAAAAATAAAGTAAGTGAAACAAGTATGTCGTACAGCCATAAGTTTGTTCTTTATATAATTGGCTAATTATAGGATAGTTTAAAAAATTTAATTAATAAAGGAATAAACGAATCTCTAACCCATATGTATAATATACAGAATCTTTGGCTATAAACGACAGACTTGATAAAGTGCTTTAATTTCAAAATATATTTTTAAAAGCAGAGCGCCAATCGACAGATAGTTTGAAGAGGTTTACTTACGCAGTGGATCCTCTTTTGGCTCGTGTCTAGGCGGCTTCAGGGTCGGTTTCTTAGCTTTTATAATGGTTATAGCTTTCTTCTTGTTGGGCAGCAGATGAGTATTGGATGAGGTACTGCTGCTGCTGCTGCCGTTGGGCCTGTTGCCAGGCTTGCTCCGTGGCTTTAAGTGCTCAGACAAATGGGGTTTGTTTGCCTGCAGCTTATAGTCAGCACTCTTCGACTTGCCAATTGTGCTGCCAGTGCTTCTGTGCAAGCCGTCACTAAGTGACTTCTTTGCTGCCACAAAGTCAACCGCCTTTGACTGCGACTTGTGTGTTTGGCCCATCAGCGCATCACCTTGAGTAAAAAAGGAACGATAAGCCATGAACTCTTGTGTGTGCTACTTATAACGCATTACATACCCAAATCATCTATGGAATCGTAAGATTCTAAGCGATCGCGCCTATTGTTCCTGAATTGGCTGCTTTGTCGATTATACAACGCATCCAGTGCATCGTTGGAGTCGCTCGATGAGGAACTTAATCGACGCCGAAATCTTCCCTTTGCATTTGTGCCACCTGCTTACAAACATACACACACGCGCGCCCAAAATAAGCATGAAGAAGATTTTTTACTTTATTGGCATATACATATACTTACTTTCAGCGAGCAGCTCGTCGTCAAGAAACTTGCCGTCAAATAGTTTTTGAAAAATATCCGGATCTATTGACGAGGAACCGCTCGAGTCCGATGAAATGCGTCGGCGTTGCGGCAAACGCATCAACGCTTGATTCGATGCGCGTCCTTCGCTGCTTGTTTTGATGCCTGCATGAAATATAATTGAAAAATCGGCAGCAAGCGCACATTGCAAATAGAACACTCACCTGGCAGCACCAAATCTTTGTACTCATCAAGATATTCTATTTCTATATCTTCCATATTATTAAATAGTTTTGTCTGTATATATCTTTTCTGTTCTTTTTTTTGCACTATTGCGTTTGCATTTACACTTTAAATATATGTTTGTCACTTTCGGCTTGTAGCATGAATTTGCGCACCATAGCAACGGTGCAGCAAAATCGGACGCTGTTCATGCAAAGCGAGTTTTAATTTACAAACACATCGCGCAATATTACATTAAATATTGAATACATTATCAATCGCAAAAAGTGCTCGAGGACCGCACATGAAAAATATAATGAATATGCAGCCTTTGTTATCGATAATGATGGAACAATTCGATAGTTCGCATACAGCTAAAAATCGATAAGAATCAATTGAATTAAAAATCGCGCAATATTCATTCGTACTGGACATTTAATAAACATTGCATTATGAATAATATCAACTCCATTTCTAAATAAAACTGTTGGATTTTACAAAAAATTCCCGGTAATTTCTCCAAAACTCTACGTAAATAATGTATTAATAACAACTCTCAACCCAACCGAAAGACTGTTGAAATCTTCATTCAAAATATAGCTATACCATTTTTTTTTAAGGAATCATCATTTGCTAAGACCATTATATACTTTGTTATTTGGGTTCTGAATAACAAATCATACTCCTCGACTAAGCTGTTTCACTACTTTAATACTAGTTTCTCAGGGGATGCAAATGTAAAGAATATACACACTCTCTTCTTTATCATGCGAATTTTGTTTTCTTAATTTGTTTTTTTTTTTTTTTTTTGTTGTACAATTTTTGAGCATACTCAAAGTATATTGTACAGCATTTTAATCTGTGTACACCTCGTATGCACACACGCACACACACACAGCAGCTTGACGCGCTGCGAACTGTAATCGAAATGATGAACCTTATCGAATAGTTGCTGTCAAAGTTACGTTTACGGGCGAATGGCAGGTGACGTGGAACACGAAACCGACACGAAGAGTTGTCAAATTGATTCCAACGCTTTCAACACTTTCCAGGTCAGCACGCAGAATTCACGAACTTAGTGCACATTTTGCCTTTAATTAAAATTAAACACATACATTAAAATGGTAAGTAAAAAACATATTTTTTGAAAAAGAAAAAGACGAACCAAGTGCCGTCTATTGTTATAGCCTGCTCCTGCAAGTTCGACGTCCGTTGGCAGCGGTTCACGCTCGCCCAGCAAACTGTCGGCGCCACGTAGCGCTGGCGCTGGTGGCGGCAGCACTCTGAAACAACGAAAGACGACAACAACAACGGCGGCCAGGAGTCGTGCTCCAGGCGGAGCAGGCACTGGTGGCATGTGGCGTTTCTACACAGATGATTCTCCCGGCATTAAAGTGTAAGCGAGCCGTTTAACTGAATTAGTTATATTCGCTAAATTAAACATTTTTTCTCTCTCATGTTTGATAGTGGTCCAGTTCCAGTTCTGGTCATGTCGTTGCTGTTCATCGCCTCTGTTTTCATGCTGCACATTTGGGGAAAGTACAACCGTTCTTAGACAGTTCATCGTAGCAAATAAATACTTTCACCTCAACGGACGCGCCGCGACACACAATTTTGTCGACGTCATCAGATTTCTCGCAGACAGTTGCCAAAACAACTACAAAAATAATTGAACTATCGCAGCTAGCACTGTAGTATCTGCATTCCGTTGGTTGAGGCATTGTGTTTTCCACTTGAAATTAATTATTGTCTAAGCTTAAGTTACCCGTCGTTAAATGATAAACTAAATTGTATACATAATTTGTCAAAATTTCTATTTACTTTGCTGCAAAGTTCTTTTGTTTGGAGTTTGTGGCAGATAATCCATTCCACAATTTATGGTGGCCATTTTCATGTGCATTACTTTCGCGCTTCACAGACGCAGTTCAATAGTTTAAAAAGTGTTAAGAACAAATGAATTTGGTATTAAACGAGTAAAAATAACAATGATCTGTGGTCTTTCTCTAGAACTTTAACTTTTGACTTGATTTATTGCGAGCCACTATCAGAGCTTGTCCCATGAATTGCGATTCCTTAAAGTATCGACAGCGTTGTGTACACCTGCGTTCACTGTGTCCTCGCTGGCCGCAAATAATGCAGCCGTAGTGCTGGTCCTTCCGATGCTTTTTCTTCTGGCGATCTCTGCGTTTCAGTTGTAGCCACAGTCTACAATTGGTTTCAATATGACCACGTTGGCCACATAACCAGCAGCGCTGCATAGACTGATACAACGCACAGACGTGGCCCTCGCGCTGGCTGCAGCGGCGGCAGTTCGTGCAGTGCACATAATTGGGTTTCACACACATATCACAAAACTGACAGTGCCGATAGGTTTGGCCGTTCTGCGAGCAGCAGTTGGCGCACCGATCGCAGTGCACGTTCTCTATGCCTGTGTAGCGTTGACATTTATCACAATACTTGTAGCCCTCTGCAGGTTGCAGCTGCAGCAGCTCCAGCGGCACGTTGGTAAAGACGCGTACTGGCGAGCCATAGGAGCGTCGGGCGATGCCCAGATTCGTGTAACGACTGTGGTTGGTGTAGTTCAGCTTATAGTCACACATTTGCAGCTCGGGCATATCCTGCTTTATATAGTTTGCCATATAGTATGGGTATACCCAAAATATGGATAGTGGCGTGGCGGGCAGGCAGTTGATGCGATTGTGCAGACGCACGAGGGAACGCAGCGTATGAGCAATGAGTTCCGTTCTACAGCCAAATGGGGGATCTGTTACAATTAAAACGCGTTCATTGCTGAAATGCAGGGCTGTAGCATAAATTTTTTAGATATGGAAAGCGATCTTACTTGTTGCATTTGAGGAACAGCTCAAAGGGTTCTCGATTGTAGAAGAAGTGATTGTTGCACATGTTGTACAGGCAGAATTCCTGCGGGCTTAGATAGGCACCAAATCGCTCGTCGAAATCTAGCAAAAACGATTGCATTTTGGTACGTCGCAGGTGGAAATGGAGCCGAGGCGCGCCCATGCAAACTACCTTACTACATAAAAGAGAAATTGTTGCATTTACATGGAGTCCTACTTTAATTGCTGCAACTTACTTGATTTTAAGCAAGCGACATTGATCCGCAAAAAATTCCAGGGCTTTCTGATCAAAAAAGTACTGTGCATGCACTTCGTCTTGCGACAGTGCTTCTAGGTGATTTGTTGGATCGGGATCGCTTTGCTCCTTCATTGACTCGGGATAATCGCGAACGTTTGGCAAGCGCTTAAGCTTGTTGCCTTTCCATTGAATCTTATCCATGTGAAAATCACACAGTTTGGGATTCCGATGAGCGGAGCAGGCATAGAAGCCATCGCGTGGAGTTTCACTTTGCTGATAGAATAGCACTGTGGGACCGTGCGGGCAGCAAGGATGCTGATCCGCGGCATCTGCGCCATCTTCCTCAACTTGCAGAAGAAGCTTTTCCCTGACGATTTTTTTATTCATTTGCGCTAACTGACCAAAGGGCAAGGCGTTGCCACTTTTCAAAATATCGGAACTCAAGATGTATATCGATATAAAATATATCGACATCCGCATATGTAAGAGCATTGCAAGTTGCAACATAGAAGCGGCAGCACATTTTTCCAATTATTGTCATAATAAGTTGATATATTATATAACAAGATGAACAGCCTGAAGACAGCAACTATGCGATTTGCCAACTTGGCCAGTACAGCAAATGGCGCATTGGGCAAACGTGATTTCGCCCGTAGTCTTTGGCACATGACCAAAAAGCCGGCGGCGACAGGCGCCAGTGGCGACCATGTTACCGTGTTGAATGTGCACAAGCCCAGCATTAACTGCACTTGTGGCTGCAATGTGCACACCAAAGGTGAGTCTCCCATTGAGAATAACGTCTGTCGCAAGCTTAAAGATTGGCGCATGTTCCTGCATGGTTACATAACCTCAAAGGCGGGCTGCTGACAACATCCAGGGTGATATTTTGAAATGAATGCAAAGGTTTCTTCTTGTCAATAGGTGAACGTGAACTTGTCGAGTTTCTCACCGAGGAGATCGTTGCGGAGCGTAAGGTGCAAAAGGGCAAAACTGTTCCCAGCACATTGGAAGGATTTTGCGTAAAGCTGACTGGCGCCGATGTGGAGCTGACCAAGGAGACGGACAAGGAAAAGGTTGTCGTAAGCTTCAATGTGAACCACACAGTTGACAGCGAGCAAGAGCCTGAAATCAATCCAAATGCCGACAAGCCGGAATTGGGTGAAATGCGCAGCAAGCCCCAGTTCGAAGTGGATATTATTAGAGGTAGCTCCACCCTTTCGTTTACTTGCTCCTATTTGGAGGGAGAGGCACAGGAGGGAGAGTACAATGATGTGTTTTCCATTGATGAGATGTCCATCTACGAGGGCGAGTGGAATGACAAAATCTATGCCGTTGCTGGAGATGTGCTCGATGGCTACTTGTACGATCTGTTGATGAACATTCTGGAGGAGAAGGGCATCAGCAACGAGTTTGCTGAGAAACTCTCCGATCTGGCCACAGCTCATGAGCACATCTCTTACATTGCCTTGCTGGAGAAACTTTCCAAGTTCACAGCCGGCAAGTAAAAACTGAATGTTCGTTGCTAATTTTAAGGCGAAAGTTGTGTAGTTTTTTAAGTTTTCACCAGCAACTGCAGATATGGTACCAATCGTTAGTCTATCTAAACTAAAAACGTTTTTGATCCTTTGTGTTTTTAGACGTATGCTTTCGATTGAACCTAGTTTTTAAGTCCAACGATTGATAAGCACAAGCCCATCTATGTTTTGGCTAATCAACAAAGAGCACGTGCTAAATGACTATCTAGTGGAGCATATGCTCTGGCTTTGATTAAGCTAAATACAACACGTTTTGTTCTATTAATTTATTGATTTTTATTTGGAAACGTGGGCAACCAATATCCTTTAGACTGATTACCAGCGCGATGGCCCAAAATTTGGAGTCTGCGGTCTGTTTGGCGGCAATGTTTGTGGCCGTCTAGGTTGGCCCAAGCCTGATCGCGAATCGAAGGGCTCCGCATGGATCAGTTGCGTGCAAACTGCACAGAAGACCAGCACGAATGTCAAAAGTGATGATAGAAGCCGCATGTTTATAGTTAAAATCTCTTTTCAGTTCTGTTTTTGAGTAGATTGTGCAGTGGACTTTATATATGAAATGTGCCGCACATTTACTGCGCCGGGAAGCACCTGACCTTAAGCTCTCAGCTTCGATAAGCACTCCTGGGAATCACAAAGTAGCACCATCGTATTAAGGTCCAATGAAACAAATGATGCAGATGTGTGTGTAAAAACGTAATGAGTAAATGAGTTGTTTACATCTTGTATAAATAAATATGTCTTTCTTAAGGCCCGACTAGCATATTTCCTGTATCTGTTCTAATATAAATATATTTCATTTCATATTGTTTAGGATTAGGATTATGCATATACATTTGTGTACTTTTTCAATTATTTATTAAAACACACATACATATTTACAAACTTTGAACTTTAAATAATTCTGGCATTGTTTGAACTTAACATAAATTTAATTTAAAACGTTTAATTTACATTCTGCGCCAATTGAAAAGGCGTTACTGCCACGAGCTACTTATACATTTAGACTGTGGAGCTGCGTTTGTGCTTCCAAGGGAATGCGTCCTTACTCCTATCAGGCGCCTCGCGGCTGTTCAATATGTTTTGCTCTGAATCCGTTTTGATCGTATCACCATGGCAAGGCTTTGAATCGGCTAATTGAGGTCAACTTTTGCTTTGGCCGCTTTGGTTTTTGCTCCCACTCTGCGTGTTGTTGTTGTCGTATTCGGTGCCAGTGCTGTAATCCGTTTCAATTTCGCGTAATTCAATTTTCTGCTCACGCATGGCACGCTGTTGGGTTTATCATGGTGTATCTATGAGTAATACAAGGGTCTATGTACAATGAACATCCACCCACCTTTACGCACTCCTGATAAACCTTGAAAATGGGCGCACACACGGAATCATCGGTTTCTCCTTTAAGGAAACGTTCGGAAAACCAGTTATTGAAGCATGCATCGTATTGCTTTTTTAGCTCATTGCAGTCGTCGCCAATGCTGTTCATGCTGCAGAGTGTTGAATTTTTTATTGATAATTTTCACTTGTTAAATAATAATGCCAATAAAACGTGCGACTGCTGCAGAAAGGTTGCCGATAACATATCGATACTTGTCAAGCCGATAGTTCCACAGCAGAACTCTTACCTTTGATAAAGCCGGGTACGGTGACCACTTTTTAAAATATTCATTTTTCCAGCAGGAACCTTGTACTATCGCCTTCAACTGTGCCGTTATTTAAGTTGAAATATACGACACAATTCTTAGCTCATGTTAACAGTTTTAACATCGCACTAAAAATGACACGACTATTTTGTTTTTCTTGTTTTGTTTTTTTTTCTTGTTTCTTTTTAGTTTCCTTTACTGTTTATTTTAATCAAAGACTTGCGCACTTCAGATTTTAGTTCATACAAAATGCATTTATCAATTAGTTTTCTTTTAAGCATAATGAGCGTTGAAACAAATTCACAGTACAGCGTAATAAATAAGGATAAAATGGGTACAATGAAAGGCTGAATAATGAGAGTAGACCTCCGATTCAGGGCTTGGCTGAATCGGAGGTCTGGCCACAGTCGCTATCAGCAGCTGTTCCTCTTCCACAGATCCATTTCCTTAGTCGCAGTGTATTGTTCATGTAATTTGTTTAAAGGCTTCTACTTAGGTGACTGTGTCTACTCTTCCTCGATGGTTTGCACTTGTTGTTGCTGCTGCTGCTGCTGTTGCTTGTGGTGTCCACGTTGGTTGCGGTTGCGCTGATTGCGATTGTCGCGACGCTGGCCGCCCCAGTTGCCGCCTTGGTTATTCTGGTTGCGATTGTAGCCGCGGTCACGATTGCCCATGTTGCCGCGCTGGAAGAAGTTGCCCTGCTTCATGTCGAACACCTTCTCATTGACGTCCACCAGGTTGGTCACCTTGTCAACGAACTGCATGGCCAGGGCCTGCAGGCGCGACGGCTCCGATCGATGCATGACCACCGTTTCGCTGGGATCGTCCAGGCTAGCCATCAGCTCCTCGTTGATAATCATCTTGCTGATAATCGAATGCACCTTTGGCAGAGGCAGCTCATACATTTGCGCCAGCGATGGTATGCTAATCGAAGTGTACACGTTCGAGTAGGTGAACAGATATGTGCGCAGCGACTCCTCCTTGATGAACTTGACAAGCATTTCTCGCACACGTTCCGACTCATAGAACAGATCCCACACCTTTGTGTTCATCTTTTTGTTAACAATGAAATTGGCACACGCCTGCCAGTTGCCGCAGCGCATGGCCTTGGCGGCTGCCACAACGTGCTCGCGCATCGATTCGGGTGGACCCACCAGGGATTGACGTTCGGAGGAGCGCAGCTGCTGGTAGAACGTTTTGCTGATCATACGACGGCGTGCATCAAACTCGTGTGCGGCTATGTAGGGTATCTCCAGGAGCATTGCCGAAACCAGATAAACGCACTCCAGCAGCTCGAGATTGATGTGCATGTGGAATGGCATTTGGCGCTGCTTCTCGATCTTCTCCTGCTCAGCGGAGCGTTCGTGCTGACGCTGAGGCAGCAGTCCCTGAGCAAGCAACTCCTTTGGCTTGCCGGTGACCATCAGATCGACCAGACAATGGTGGGCATCCTTTATGTTCTCCTGACGGAATGCGCACAGGCCCAGATTGGCCATCATGCGATTGTATAGAATACGCGTCGAGGGATCTGCCGCATCGATGTTGTCTTGCAAATGCGACATCAGAACCAAATCGCGCGCCTGGAACCAGTTGTCGTGCATCGCATGATGATAGATGTGCGCCAATATCGCGCGCGTCCTAATCCGATCTGTGTCGTCCTTGGCGTAGATAAACTTGCACAGTTTGTCCATCACCTCAACGGAAGACGGAGCTGTGCCCGCAGCTGGCAGTTCACCCCGCTTGCGCTTAAGCACCTCCGGATCGAACTTGTAGTACAGATGCTCGATCTTTCGCAGGTAAATGCGACAACGCTCGTTGTTGCTGCCGCAGCGCTCGAAGTATTGGACAACCAGCTCAATGGTTTTAACCACATTGATCTCATCCTTTAGCCGCGAAACGTAGTCATTCGAGTGCGGATCGCACTCCTTCAGCAGCTTGGTGAACTCATCATCCAGACGTTCGACGGCAGCCAACGGACAGCCGCGAATGAAATACGGCGCAGCTCCATATTCCTCGTGTTCCTCGGCCACGCTCTCGTTCATGTTGATGTCCGGATTGGCGAGCAACAGTTTTAGCATGCTCTGCATCACCTCGAGCAGCAGGGCCCAGTGCTCCAGCTTCATGGGCTCGGATATCTTTTGATTGTAGTCGAAAATGGCCGAAATGATGTTGAAGTGAATCTTCACGCTAATGGGCGTTCCCAGTTCATGTTGCTCAGAGATGTCGCGCAGCTCGAACAGCAAATCAATTTGCAGGCGGCGATCGGTACGCTTCTTGCCGCGTGCCGACATTATTTCTACCAGTTTGGCAAGCACAAGGGGAATGTCAATTTCAGCATCCTTTTCAAACATTTTAGGCTTCTCAACGACATTGCCCTTGACGACGGTCTCCCATTCGCCATCTTCATCGTCATCGGCGCGCTTGCGCACCTTGTGCTTCTGCTCCTTACGCTTGTCCTTGCGCTTGTCGTCATCCTTGTCCTCCTTCTCGGTGGTGCGCTTAAGGAAACGCTCACGCATGTTCTGGTATAGATTTTCATCCTCTGAGGATTCGGTCTCCGACTCGGTGTCAGAGTCCCAATCGATCGAATCATCAGAATCATCCTCGTCCGCAGCCACTTTGGCAGGCACCAATTTCGCTGCCTTGGGCAACTCGGCCAGTTTGCCGGTGCCGGCGCCAATGCCACCGTCGCTGTCAGCGCCAGCGCGATCGGCGTCGCTATCGTGTGCTTCCCCTTCACCCTCATCGACATCACTTTCCTGGTCGGGTGCTTCTCGGAAACGCGCCAGGTCCTCTTCAAAATCTTTGATATACTTCCGCACCTTTTGGCGCAACGTGCCCAGCGACTTTGAGTTGTTTTTCGAGAGATTTTTGCGCCCCTCTCGATCCTCCCACACCTCATTGATGAAATCTTCAAGCTCGGCAAGGCAGCGAATGTAAAAGCGCGGTGTAATGCCGTTCTCTTCCTTCGAGATGACGGGCAACGCCTTCGTGTAAGCGCGCGTCAAATCCTCAAAGCTGCTCAGCGTATTCGGTATGTCCTTAATCTTCTTATGGTTGCGTATCGTTTTGATGATGCCTGTTAAGTTCTCATAGCGCTTTTCCTTGGTGGAGCGCACCACACGCTTAACTTCCTCTTCGTCATCGCTGAATTGCTGCACAACAATATATTTTTAAATCAAATAAGACTGTGGCGGGCGCCAATGGGATAATATTTAACTTACGAAGTTATTCGCTTTGTTGAAGTTTGACGCTTGAACCTCTTCTTCGCTGGATTCCGATTCCGAGTCGGAGCCGTTGGCAAAGAAACGTGACATGGTACTTAGTTCTGCTTATGCCGTTTTCTGCAAAATAAATAAAACACAAATTACATACAATTTTAAGTGCTTGACTTGTGTGTCACAGAGCGGTTGAGGTTATGTGCAAGCGGCCAACATGGCGTTTGCCAAATATTGACAACAACTTTCTGCCACAATTACGAAGTTATCTTTGTGAGCGCGAGTTGCAATACATGCCGCGTCTGTTGGGCTTCTGTTCCCAACTTGGTTAGTGTCGCTCTGGTCACGGTATTTTACAATAACTTACAATTATTACAGCAAAACGATGTCATTCGCAAGACATCAAAGAAAAGAGGAATAATACAAGTTTTCGGTTATCGATATGTGAATTGTATGAATCGATGTTTTTGACGATGTTTTTGATATTTTTTAACACTGTCATTTATGACAATGTATTTCAACATAAATCTTTTTGACTGTTCTCTTAGTCTGATAAAAAATACTAATATTATTAAAATACGACTTTATTAAATTAATATATTCGCAAAAAATGGTAGGAGTCTTTTTTTTGAAGATTGTTTTTATAATACTTTTGGGAAAATTTTAAGATATGAATGTCAAGCGATTTGCAGTGCCACTTGAGTTTAACAGTGCCAATGTGAGGCTGTCTGTTACAGGTTTAAATAGTTAACATCAGAACAATAGTCTATACTTGAAATTGGAAATAACTATTAACTTCCACGTTTAAAACTAGTGTGATCAACGAAGGAAACACAGTAATAAACCAACTAAACATATTGCTTAGGATATTGTTAGTTGAAATATGTAAAGCATACCTGCGCAGGCGCATCCAATAGCCGGCATTTGGCCCAAACACAGCCCTCTCGCGCCGCAACGCTCCCCGCTGACAATCACAGGTTCGAATGTGTGCGAATTTGTATTGTCAGGCACAGGCAAAATGTTGTCGACGTTTGAGCGCGCCAACAAGTCGTCTGCGTTCGCTTGTCGTGGCCAGTTCACCAGCTGCCAATCGGCGGAAGCGGCAATCTTTAGCATAGCGCGAAATTCAAGCGTTGAGGTCCGTTTCCGGCTTTGGTGTCTGTGCGAAACGTAAAGTGATAAAAAGTCTAAATTTAAACAAAATTAGCCAAGTGTTTAGCGTATTTTCCGTTCGGCAATCGACAATTTACGGGCACGTGTGCTGAGATCCGCCCAATCCCAAAAAAAAAACAAGGAAACTCTGAAACGCAAATGTAAGCACAATAAATAATAATTGGAATTTGATGCAAATGTGTTTATCTGTGTCGCTCAAAGTGCTCAAATGAATATCATAAACTGACCAGGTAAAATCTGATAAAATCCGATAAAATCCGTACAGCTCCTGACATCTGACAACTGACGGTGCACAGATCTGCGAACATTGATAGACAATTTAATGCAGCTTATTTGTAAATTAAAAATTAATTAATTGCATTGCAGGCATTTTACACTTCCTGTTTCACGTAAAGGCCTTACGCCATAAAAATCGCTGCCCTTTGCAATTTATTGTATTTCCAAATGTCCATAGTAAATCTTTCATGCAGAAAAAGCTTATACATGTGTATTTATATCCGAGCTAAAAAAGTGGATTTCCCCTTTGCAATGCTTTTAGTTTTCATTTTAATTTTGGCCTGTTAACTTGAATTGTGCTTCCGTTTATCCACGCGCTTCAGTTTAGCCTTTGGATGTGAGCTCAGGGTGTCCGACAAATTTTAGCCGACCTTTTAACTGAATTAATATATTACGCATTCAGTGCATGTCTTTTGTATGTAACTAGTGTACCTCTATCTTAATACTTTATTTTTCTAATAACAATTGAATTTGTAAAAAATGCTCAGGAGGAGTAAGAACATTTTTGAAGCATACACAACGAAACTTGTATTCGAATTTCGAAAATTTTAAACCGATTTTATAACATATATAATCCAAAGGGTTTAAAATATATCTCATAATCAAATAAAATATTGATTTGATATTTTTGAAGTATATAAATATGTGGACGAAGTATGAAAGATTTAAACAAATTAGTTTAGCTATTGTTTGCATGTTTAGAAAATAGGAATTTATTCAAAAAGTTATTTCTTAACGTTAAGGCTCAAACCCAAAAGACATTGACACCTTAGCTAAGAAAATAGAAAAAGTTTTTAAAATTATTCTCTTTTTTTTTGTCGAGGATTATGCTAACAATAAATGAACAATCAATTAATGAATTATCAAAAAGAAAATTTAGAAAAAATTACTCAAGCTAGAAAATAATTTCAAGTTACAAATTGAAAAGGTGTCGTTTGACACCTTTGTTAGAGATAAAGAAAGCAAAATACGTTTTCTGTTAGTTTTTGTTGTTTAAAATTCAATGCAATCGTTAACCTCTAGCTCAATAAATTTTAAAGCCAAGTAAAGGTCTCCAAAGGCAAGCTTTGGTCTGCGACACGCCCATTCCGTGCTACTGGGACAATTTATGAGTAGCGCACAAAACCAAAATCAAGCCACCGTGGAGCTGCGCGAAGATCCCCAACTATAATAAAAAATGCCAACGAAACAAAAAGGAAAGGTCGAAGTAGAACTTAAAAATGCAAGCATATAGAAGAGAATATGCAAGGCGAGCGGAGCTCGGAGGTCGGAGGTCAGTGCTGGGCTTGGACTGGGGATGCACTTGGCACACGGCACAAAGTGCAACTGTGGCTGCAGGAGAAGCGCGTGCCATTTATTAGCCTTTGGCAGCAGAAGCAGAAGCTGAGCTGGCACACAGCGCGTGGATAAAAACGTGCCCTGGCCGAAACTATTAACGGAAGCCCCCAAGTGCCAGGGCGGAGTGAGGAGAGTTGGTAGAGGGAGAGGGGTTAGAGGCAAACGACAGTTAATGGAAATGTTTATGGCGTCTGCGTAATTGTTGGTTCATGTGCATGTTGTATGCCAGAGGCCATTCGAATGCCATAACCGGCTCTGGACCTGATGGATGTCGGCCAGCGTTCCGCCATCTAAATATAAATTAGACGAGCGCCTCGGCCAAAGTTGGCTAGAATAGAAAATTTGTTTATAATTTGCCGACGCGACAGCAGAAATAAACAATGTAGCCAAATCGTAAAAATCGCTCACCTGAATCACACGGCCATCTTATAGTTGGGCACATATTTTTCCCATTTGCACTTGCTCTAGTTCGGAGAAAATCATTTAATATTCCAGTTTAGACGCCGAAGAGATACAATTCAAATAAATAAGAACGGGCGGGCATTACCCGGCTTTGCAAGGGCCAAGTGCTCTTTTCTTCAGAAGGAAAATCTTCTTGTCTTAAATTTTCCAAAATCCAAGTAATTAATTAAATCCAAGAGCAACGCTTGTTAACGGTAAGCCGTAATTACAATCGACAGCTTCTACAAGGAAGAATCGGGCAGAAACTTTAATTAGAATCAAGCATAATATGTGTCTGTAAACATGTATGCAAATAAGTACTAGTTCAAGTTGAGATTACCAAGTTGATTACTTGATTAATTAGGCAGTCAAATGTTTTGATATTCCTCTACTTTATGTCTATTATGCTTCCACGTGTCCTTTTCGCCTGGGCCTGGGCTTGACTGCCTTGACTGTTATGGCCAAACTTTGTTAGCTCATTAACCCAACCACCCACTTGCTGTGGATATCTTTCAATATGCTCCGAATTCTGTTTGAGTTCGTTCTGTTTGTACTTGCAGATGCCCCCATCCCCAGACTATCCCCAGCTCCGATTGCTACTGCTCTAATTTCGCAGCTAATGCTAACGAATGGCTGTCATTTAATTTCTATGAGCCATAAATTTTTATAATGCACATTCATTAGGTTTCTATCCGCGTGTCCGCGTGTGTGCTTCATCCGCTGCATGAAACTGTGATGTAAGCAGCGCACAGTTGCTGCTAAAAGTTCAGCAACACGCATATGCAGCTAATTAGCTGACAACTTAGAAAGCTAGTTACAATGAAGGCAACATACAGTCTGGAAATAAACTAAACATTCAATATGTATTTGATGTTTTGCGGAATCTCATGATTTTGCTTAGTTACATCTTATATGTATATTCAATAACGAGAGCGAGGTACAGATCCCTGAGGGTATTATTTACCAAGAATTTACATATTCGTAGTTAGCCTTATTAAATAGCATCAACATATCAATAGGATTGCAGATTTGAAAATAATGAATTTAAGAAAAATATCTGCAAGTTTTCAATTAATAATTACATTAGAAGTAACCTTTTAGAAAGTTTTTAAATGAACTGTTTGTTTGGCTGACTTGAGGTTCGTTTTTTAATGAAACTCAAACTTAAAGCTTTTCAGTAGCTGATAATATTTAAAAAAGCTTGAACATGTTGTTAAGTCTTTAATAGTTAGTACTTAAACTTATCAATACATTTATCCAATCCTAAAGGCTGGGTATTAAAAGCGCCGAAGCCACAACAAAAACAAAATTTGAACTCAAAGAGAAAAACAAGCATCGACAAAAGTTTTGGTCGAGCCTTTATAGCTCTCGTGCAAATCATGGGAATCGAGTGCCATTATTCATACCCTGTACACACTCGAAAGAGGCTGTAAAGGTTTTGTTCGTTCTTATGTAACAGGCATATACGACCCTTACGGTTATAAGTCCTTGATCAGAAAGAGGACTAAAGGAGATTCGGGTATGCCTTCTTAAATCTTGAAAACTATATGAGCTAGAGATTTAAAATTTGAATAACATATTCTCATATTTAATTCTCCTATTTTTATAATACCGAATCATATTTCGATTAACGAAAGTCAAATTTAAAGCTATGGACTTTCGTTCTAATAAAAACAAACATAGCTTGCCTTAAATAAGATTCGAAGTTATTTTGGAACTCAACTATCCATTGTATGGAAGTTAATACAGGGTATCCCAGTCGTATATGTTTGCTTTCTTCTTTTTTTGTTTTCTTTGCTTTGTGTTTTTTTTGTTTGCTAGTTTTTCGTGCGGCTTTGTGTAGTATTTAAGGCTTTGTGCACACGCGTCGTATGCTTAATATTAAACAGAGCCCCGACGAGCACATCGCCTAAGCGTTTTGTTTGCTCACGACTCCACACACTTGCCACTTGCCACTTGCCACACATCCCACTTGCCACTCGCCACTTGCCACTCAACTGTGAGCTGCAGTCTGACATTTGCTTGACTTTATTTTGGTTTTGTTTACCGGCTGGCTGCTGAATGTGACGATGGAGGAGTCGTTGCCAGGATCCATTTGGAGTGCCATGTGCCATGTGCCGTTGGCTGGGCGGGCACACACAAAGCCAATCACCACAAAACACTAAAGTAATGATGCTGAACTATGCAAGTGGCTTTTGTCTGCTTCTTTGTCGTATCGAAGGCATCAGAATTTGTTGTTGTCATTGGATTGACCATCAGAATGCTCTATTGTTTTTGTGCTTTGAGCTTAGCCCCAATTCGGTTGCAGATGATTCCAAATCGAATAAAAAGCACAATGATATAATTGGTTTCACAAATCAGGGAGAGCTTTAGATTAAAGGCACACATTTGAAAGAAACTATTGCCGATAAATCTATACGCTTAGACAATAATAAAACTTGACTCGATACGGTTCTGTTCTTACTAAGAGTTCCACTAGGTTCACAGTCAAACTTGTTAAAGTTCAACAGCCTTTAAAAAAAATTATCATCTAGCTCTAGAAAGTCCGACTTGAAGATGCCCTGTACCTAGCCTGTTGCAGATATATATTATATCATATGTTTCCACTCTGCTAAAGGCTATCGGAAATTCTTTTTCTATTGAAATGAAAGACATTCAAAGCTAGGTGAAATATTCAGAATCTGTGTAATTCTTACATATCAAATTTACTGTATCTAGGTCTTATAACCTCGGAAAAAAACAATATGAAAATTGAGTCGTGAAAATGCATAGCTCATAAATTCCCTGAGATACTTTCGTTTGCCATTTTAAATGGGCTCAGATTATCTATATGTATTTAATTGTAATATTTAAATTGATTTAAATATATATAAATATTTAAATAAACGAATTCAGTTTTTTGCTTAAGTTCTAATTAAAGTTATGCATAAATAAAAATTATTTCATTTCATGCTTTCAATAATTTGCTATACTTTAAGCAGCTCGTTGTCTGTTGAGCACGATAAAAACGGATTTAGTTTTTCGCTTAATTTTCTATTATAGTTCTGGATAAACACAAAATATTTCATTTCATATATTCATTAGTGAAGTTTCGTTGTTTAACGAATTTCCGGCTTGGACTATTTTAAATAACCAATGAGCACACGAGTGGCACCCATAAGTATGCTCTGTATTTGGGCTTGGGTAGTAGAAACCAAATGCAATTAGCCTTATTAGATTGCGTTAAACATGAGACCGCAACATTAGAAAGTCACAAGGCCAACAAATTGGCGTGCTTTTAATTTAAAAGATTGTTTGGTTTTATGAAAATGTTGAGAATTGCATATACTATAGCAAGTACAGTGTTCACTGCTTGGCGCGTGCCAGTATAATGTTGAAATTATCATTAATTAACTAACTGAAGCAGACGTTTTTAATACTTTCGTCAAGACAGTTTTGATAAGCGCACGCGCTCGGAATTAATGAAATGGCGGCGACCTTTTCCCGGGCTCTGTGCTCGGAGGCGCGGATTGGTGTGGGGCGTGTTCTGTTCGGCGTCTGCTCTTAGCTGAAATTAATTTATCTTTACATGTCCCATTCCTTATCCGTGTTTGAATAAATTTTGCAGCTTTATGTTAGCTCAATGCTTGGCATTCCTATAGTTTGTTTGTGGCAGCACCAACAGGATGCTCAATAATTGAAAAGGACTTGACATTTAGCTCAAAAATTAAGTTTTGCATTACGTTTATCAACTTGGTTAAATTCTTTGCAAATTCTTATACCAATAGAGCATTATTTTCGTAAAACTAAAATACTTGATAACATAATATATTGACCTTTTCCGACTTTTAAACTTATGAGGTTCTGGTTTATTAAGATTATGTGCACTTTTCAGGATCTCTAGACTGCACGACTATGAGACACCCATTACCCAGTAACTAATTTTCGAAAGTGCATTTCTATATATACACACTCGATAAATAAAATGATATCATATATATACATAGACATATTTGTATTATCCACGTATCTGTTTGTTTTCTAAGCGTTATGAGGACTTTTTGACGACTTTAAGATTCATATATCAAAAACAGAACAGTTGTTTTGCTTATAAATTTTTGAAGGACAAGTATTTTATCAGAGTTTGTTGTCTACAGCTTTTTTGATATCCAAGATACACACACAAAAAACAGGAGCTGCACGGGGTATCTGCAAGTTGTGCTTCCTCTCATTTAAAGTAAACCTGTTTTTAATTCTAAAGGATTTCTATCCATCTTATTTGTATGTAACATGGTTATTTAATCCAATATACAGCTCCTATAGGAATAATGAGGTTAAATTTATATAAATATGAATACCCTGAATAGCCAAAGGGAATATTTCTCGGCAACATATTTGAGTGTCGTCAAGAGAATTAAATCCTTGAGGACCCTTGGGGAATATTTCTATACAAGTATTTAACATTTAATAACAGAAGCTATGCTTTCAGTTATTAAAGACATATGCACGGTGTGCTAATTCTATGCTTATGATATTCTGTGGTTGGTTTTTAAATTGTCGCGCCTAAGTAGGCCAAGAGTCAAAGGCCAAACGTAATTTACATGAGCAAAATTGAATCTGCCCCATTTTTCATAAATGACAGCCCACTCAGGCGTTTTTCACACATTTAATGAGCCGACGCCGATGCCGACGCCTCCGTCCTTGTGTCTGGCCACCTTCCATGTAAGCTGTCATGTAATTTAATACAGCGCCAACTGCCGACACCCAACCAATTAACTGGGGGCTATTGTGCACAAATGGACCCGGTCCGGAGCCGCAGGGCGGCGGCATGTGAGACAAATTACAAAATGAAAATGATATATGTATATCTGCTGATGCTTGGGTGGAGCGCGCGCAGGGGCGGTGACGGGATTGCAACCACTGCTAAAAGACGGGGCCTGTCACTCAAAGCGTCCATCCAGCTCGCAATTTATGCGACGAGAGCCATCCAAATTCAAACTGTTGCTCTTGACGGGCACGGCCACCAGAACTGGCGCTCAGTGTTGCCAATTTAGCTATTTTAAAGCTAAATTCTTCTGTTTTCAGAGATCGTCTGAAACAGTTAAGATAGACATAGTATTCTGACTGATTTTACCGCGTCTATTTTAGTTCACACTCACTTTCATTTAGATGGCAAAGCTTGTGGCTGCTTGGAGCGATAACTAAGACTTGAAGTACTAGATTATACAAGCTGGCACTGATCATTAAATAGAATTTTGCACGA